TCATATTGTCATAAGGAACAAGAAATCACAGAAGAAATACATGATTAGGTGTGACAACTTTGATATGCACAGTTTGAGAGACAGCAAATGTATACCTTCACATGCCATCAACCACACAAGACAAAAGCAGCACCTGCTCTCACACATACTCACACACGTCCAAAGGTCTTACCTGTGAATAGTCAAAGTCAGAGAGGGGTGCTATGCTTTTGATGTAGTCAATTCTGAATTGGTCCTCTGGGTTGGCTAGCGGGACTGGGGGTATTAAAGTGCTCATTGCAGACACTATAGTCTAAGGAAAAAACAAAAAAAACAAGCATTAAGCAGGATGAACACAAGGGGGTGGGGGGAATCTGATTGTAAGCCTGTATAATAATCAGTAAAATGGGATTGCAGAGGGATTCTGTGTATCAACAGAGACATTGAGCACATTTGGGAGGTGATGCAGATGAAACTCACCACTATGGCATCCTTCACGTTTTTCCGAATATCTTGGATTTTCTGTTTCTTTTCCCTGTGTGGGGAAGACAGAACAGAGACATCCCACCACATTAGACGAGTAACACAGAGTAACAAATTAAACATACAGGCCATGTGCTGTGTCTCAGTATACGTCCCAGCACTGGCAAATACATATGCATGATTTCTTCCTACATATAGCATATTTTTCCTGCACAATTTTCCACATTTTGTCAAACTTCAGGGCAGCAGGGCTGTACTTAGAGTTTCTAAAAAAATCCTTTATTAAGACGCAGGGTTCCTCCCAAGTTAAAATGTGCATGTAAGCAATGAGTGTGCCACCTTGCTAAACCACTATTATTTTCGGCCATTTGAGAAATAAAGATGTATTTAAAGCTCAAGTAAATTAAACCCCCCTGAAATCCTCTTCGGTGGGCACCAATTATTTGTACATGTAGGTGGTGGAGGACCCTGTATATGACAATCCCACCCTCCTCTTCCCCAGATCTTGAAACTGCAAGATCATGCCTCCCTCAGTCAGGGAAATAAACTAAAAGCACACAAAAACAGGGTTTTCATATAGTTACATGACTCTGACATAAAGTGGGCCTGTTTAAAATAGCCCACTGTTAAGATCAATGCCATGCAAGGCCTTGCAGCAAAACAAATCATCAATAATAGGCCTGTGTCGATCACAACCTTTCACCCTCTCACATAAAACAGGAAACGGCAAATTATTTGCCATCTGTGTAACACTGACATCCTCACATATGTATGATAACTGTGCACGAAAAGAAGAGGGGGTGTGTGTGTGTGTGTATAGAGAGAGAGAGGGAGAGAAGGAGGGGGGAGGACGATATTAGCTGGTTTGCATGGGAAACTGGGCCCAACAGGCGCTGCAGTGCCTGGGGAAAATCCATTCACAGGCTATCTTCTGGCCTCGACAATGTTATTCATTAAGAGGGGAGCCATAAAAATAATCATTAATGCGATATTTTTTTTTTCATGTTGGCGTTTAACAGGCGTACTGAGCAGCACTCACTCTGCGTTGAAGCCGTTGACGTGTAGAATCCTCATCTGCTTCACAATGGTGCTTTTTCCGGACTCTCCCGCACCTTCGAAAATACACACAAACACATCACAAAATGACCACAAACACGGACATCCTGATTAGCGTGAACCCCTTCCACAGCACCGCAAAAGAAAGAAAGAAGAAAAAACCCAACAAAATCTGGAAATGAAGCCAGTTAATTGTAGGCTCCGGAGCTTCGCTTCCATCAATATCCACCCCCATGACATATTATTGCAAGCGCTGTCAAATGGGGCTACGTGTTCGGTAAACGAAAGGGATTACGGTTAGCTCACATTTCAGACAGCCATCACCACAGAAAGCAGCCTTACCCAGTAATAGGAGCCTGTGTGTGGCTTTGTACGCTTGTCTTTCCTTTTGCAACTGTTTTTCTATCTTTTTATTAGCCTCTCGTTGTGCCTTTTCGTCGATGCGTTGATCTTCAGTCTTGCTGTTGCCCAAACAACCCATCTTCCGTCGCCCTAACCCTTCCTTGTGGAATCGTTAAAAAATATATATATATATTCTTTTTAAAAATGAGACCTGGGATGATATTGCGGGTTGAAATGACACAAGAAGGAATCTGGTGTGAAATAAAAAAGGTTAAAAAAAATCACAGCGAGGCTTCTCCGTCGGAGGGAGGAATATGTTCCCCGTTACAATTCCGCTTTAGCCGCAGCCAACCGTCATCCAAACCGTTTGCTAGTTTACAAACCAAACGAAGAATAACGACTCGCTTCAACGGAGAAATCTAAAAAAAATAGACATAAATAAGAAGAGAGAGGGGGGATTCAGTTTCTGGGAATCCAGTCAACTGTTCCTATCGCGTTTCCAACCCCTCTCTTCTCTCAGTATTTTTTTTTCTATCTGAATTTCTATCAGTATTTCTGTCTCTTTAACTCAGCACTGCCTCTCTCTGTAGCACCAGGAAGTAGCCGTGCACCGTGGAGGTGGAAAACAAACCTGCGTTAAACTGTAACATTAACAACCCGCACTCATAGAGCATTTTAGAACGTGTGTGCCAAAATACGACGAGCCATTCCAGATTTAGTCCGTTTGCTGTCCCGCTATCAAAGTAATCGAAAGAAAGTGGAAACCCGGACGCGACTCTCTCTCTCGACTGCTTTTGCAGAGGGGCTGGGTCTCTTCTCGTTGGCTTTCAGTCAGTGAGACAGCCCTGACCCTAAACTGGCAACCCAGTTACAGCGACTGTCTGCGTGCGCAATGGGCTTTTACCTGGCTGAGGTTTTTACAATAGACTACAGGTCTGGCAACACATCACAGCGGTCGCGGGCAGGGGCGTTTCTACGATTTGTAGGGCCGATGTCACACGACAGGCCACACCGGAAGTTAGACTGTTTGATAAAAGAAAATACATATGTAGAGAAATGGGGCACAAAGCACAGTGTTTACTAATATACTATTACTATAATCCCAATTCAGTATTTATAGATAAGTTTTAGCATGCCAGTACACTAAAATTTTAGAAAGTAAAATGCTCATTAACCAGAATAGTTAATTATTGATTAATGGATCATCTTTAATTTTGTTTTTCATGTTTGTTTGTTTTTTGTTTGTTTTTTTAAACTAGAACAGAAGTCAATGATTTTTAGAAATAATAATAATAATAATAATAATAATAATAATAATAATAATAATAATAATAATAATAATAATAATAATAATAATAATAATAATAATAATAATAATAAATACTGAAAGATCTCTAGTTCAAATATAGAAATTTTCTGTGTTTTTTTGTTTGTTTGTTTGTTTTTTGTTTAAAAAAAATGTAGTTTTCAGTTTTTAAATTTCCAACATAGCCGTTTCTCTGAATAGGTATGGGCCCCACTTTAATGCATAATTGTGCACATCACATTAATTTTGCAGCTACAGATGATTTTAACTATATAACTATTGCTGTATGTCGCTATCTATAATAATAATAACAATAACAAGTCATTTATAAGTAGATTTCTATTTTTAGGTTCTGCTAGATAATTTACTTATTGAAGAAAAATATAATATATTATAATATATATATATAATATATATATATATATATATAATATATTATATTAATATATAATATATATATATATATATATATATAGTATCTTATTATATATATATATTATATATATATATATAGATATATATATATAATATATATAATATATATCTGTAAAGCCTGGAATATATGAAGGAATATCATAGGAAGAGCCTCCCATATGTTTGACTCTCTCAGAAGCAAAACTCAAAGTACTTTTTAAAGAATAATGTTTCACAGTATAAATATGTAGAAAGAAATACTGGGATTGCATGTTCTACAGTAAAATATACAAACCAACACTAATGACCTCTGCAGACCTTTAGGCACCAGTGCATAAAAATCAAAATAATTTTGTAGTTTATATCATTGCATTTGTTTAGCAACAACTCTGAAAACAACTGTCACTGAGCAGAGTTCAGTGCTACGAGATAAAAGCTTTACCACATAAAACTAAAGAAAAACTCAACATGAACGATGGAAAAATGAGTCAGAAATGCTACAGCCTTCTCTTGGCTCAAGATTCATTAAGACAGGCTGAGACGAGGTTGAAAACTGTTCTGTGATCTGACAAATGAAAATTTTAAATTACTTTCATGGATGCTGCATATTCTAGGCTAAAGAGAAGTGATGACGTTTTCAGGGAAGGCCTTTGCTTATTTCAGAAATACAATGCCAACATTTCCAGCACTGTAACAGTGAGAGAGTCCAGGCGCTAAACCGATGTGCCTCGAGTCCAGATCTGTCACCCACTGAAATCACTTCGCATATTATGAAGAAGAAAATGAGACAAATGAATCCCCATTGTTGAACAGTCACTTATCAAGCCTCGAAAACTTTCCTGGGAACTCCTTGATTCCTAGGAAATGGTGATACCACGCGGAACTGTCTCAGTTTTTGACTGAGATGTAGTGCTGGCAGGAAATTGAACATAAACACATTATCTTTCTCATTTAAGAGAAACCTGACAGGGATTTTGGGATAAACATTGAGCATTTTTAGCTTTGATGTAATCATTTTGCTGGTGAAAAATAAAATGTTGCATGTTTAAGTAGTTTTAACTGTGGCATTGCAGCATTTACTTAAGTAAAGCATCCGAGAACCTCAAGAGATAAATTTGAGAAAACCTGATTTTTTCCAGAATTTTGTCTGATTCTTCCCATTTTCGTTTTGATTCCTGGACAACTTTAACTGTTGTTAGGTATGTCTTTTCAGTTGCTTATTAACACACATATTTAAATCAGCCAATCACATGACAGCAAGCAAAGACACCATGTATGCATGTAGGTCAAGAAAGCTGTAGTTCAAGCTGAGATTAAAAATAGAGAGGAAAGGTGATTTAAGTTACTTTGAATGTGGTGTGGTTGTTGGTATCAGACATGCTGCTCTGAGTATTTTAGAAACTGCACAGATTCCCCAAACCATCATCTCTAGGGTTTAAAGAGAATGATAGTGGCCTAATGGTGTTTGGGATATTTTCTAGGCAAACTTTGGGCCTCTTCGTACCAGCTGAGCATCATTTAAAACACTACAGCCTACCTGAACATTGTTACAAAGCTCAAATCATCTGAAAATGGTTTCTGAAACATGAGTTCACTGCACTCAAATGGCCTCCACAGTCGCCAGATCTCAATCCAATACAGCATCTTTGGGATTTGGTGAAAGGGGAGATTCGTGTCATGCATGTGCAACTGATGAATCAGCAGTAACTGTGCGACGCTATGATGTCAATATGGACCAAAATCTGTGCTGAAAGCAGCTCTGAATGTAAAAGGGAGTCCAACACAACACTAGCAAGGTGTACCTAATAAAGTGGCCACAAGCATGTATATACTGAAATTTCTGAGCAATTTGAGACACTCCATAAAACAAGATCTAGCAACATGATAAGTTACATCTAGTCAATCGCTCTGCTGTAAAATTGCAGTGATACTAACAAGAGATAAAATGTTGTTTAGTTCTATTAAATAAGCATAATGTTATCCTCAACCTGATCTCAAACTGCAAAGTCCAAATGACGGAGCACAGGAGTATTTTAATTATACGTTAAGCAAAGATAAAAGAAATGCCTTTCTTCTGAGTTTCATCCTTTGTGAAACTCAATGCTCAGCACACATTAAAGCCATGTTTGCCACCGACACAGTTTACACGCCTGCCCACCGTGCCGTGTGGCGGGCTCACTAAAGAGATGTTTAGGATGTTAAATAAGTGCTTAGTGCCACGTCTTCCTTACTCATAAATGTTTACCTGCCAGAGGCTAAACCAATAAACCAACCGTAAACCATGGACCACCACAGAATGAAGGATTTATCCCAGAGACCATCCATCTGACAGTTTTGCCAGAGCTTAGACCTGCAGTAGAGCTACAACCACATGAACGGCCCTCAATTAAGATCAATTAAAGGCATTTGATAAAGTTTGCTTGTGATGGCTTTTCTTTCTTTCTTTCTTTTTAAAGTTGGCATTTACGGTTACATTTAAATTTAGTTTTAAATTTAGAACAGCATTGCGTTATTTGTCAAAGCAGTATTTACGAAACAAACTCATTTTATTCACGTCATCACAACGTCTCATAGCCCTCGCTAGTCCCGCCTTCCTGTGTTAAAGCACACAAACTATCAGTACCAGTCTGCTGCATTCAGGTTTTAAAAACTAGCCGCAAAATGTACTGTACATATTAATACCATCACTAAACGCGTCACTGAACAACGAGGTTATTTTTGAAACATATACCAAGGAATCTGCGATTATTCTGTCCGAAATGCAAATACCAGTTTCCTGTAGTGAAATTAGTAGAACAAAGTTACCCGGCATGCAAAACCACTCTTGAACTCTCACTACCACCATAAATACTCCATCACCAAAAGAGGAAAAAATCCGGCTGCCGGCCTGAGAAAGCAAGGTCAAAACAAGTGGCTGGCCCACACCACCCTCTAGTGGCTACGCGCAGAATTGCACGCAGGCTGTCGAGCTCCCCATGAATGATGCAGAAGTAGGTTTTGCTGCATAAATTATTGTCCTTTTTAGGAAGTACCGTCTGATATTTATATTTAGCTTGCCGCTGCTTCCTCTTAACTAGACTAAAAGTGTGTGCCAATACTCATTTTTCTTTTAAGTCCCTCTCCAAACAAAGATTGCTCTCATTTATCTGTACTTCACTTGAAGTCCTTTTTTTCTGCCATCTTTGTCCAGGATTTGACACGAGTCTGGTGAAGGAGAAAGGTTTCTCAATGTTCCACCTAAATTCAATCTGTATCTGCATAAACAGCAGAACTAGCTTTTGATATCATGTGCAAAAACATGCAACTTTTAGCAGATGCATGATTTGTATCCTGTGGAGACATGAGAAAAAGATAAAGAGAGATGGGGCTTAAAGAATCCCGACTTGAAATCGCAGGGAAAACTCTACACAAACAGGGGTGTTGGTAGAAGAATTACATCCGGGGGGTAAAAAACAAAAACAACAAACCGTCTTTATATCTTATTTTGGAGCAAAGAAAAAAAAATCAGCAAACTTAAGCAATTTTTGTCAGATTTGACAGGCAAGTCTATACATATGATTTTTGGGTCCACTGAAGTTAAAGTTAATTTTCATAAAACTTCAGGATAACAATCAAAATAAGCGATCAGAGGGCTTTGAAGGTGGTACTGAGAACTGGCTTTTGAGTGAGGTACGAGGCCTTCTGTCTAGCAGTTAAACTTTTGAATGTGTGAAAGAGTTTTAATCTATCAGTGTGACATCTGTAAAGGTCACTATGAAAAATCAATCAGTGCCTCCCACCTGACTCTGAGCCCTAAAGTACAAAGGATGGGTTGAAATTCAGGACCTTTTTTTATATATATATTATTTTTCCAGCAGTTTTGAGCCCTCATTACTTTAATGAGTAGTGAGTAATAAATGTTACCTGGATGTGCTATCTGTTTTCTGATCATTCCCACAATAAAACAATAAAAGGTTATATCATCATGGCTCTTTAAAACAAGTTAAAGAATATGAAAAGCCCCATTTTGATACCATCTTTTATACTGTGTCAAAAAGATTCTCTAACAGTCTTATTTTGAGTGTTTTAGGGCTTTTAAAATATAAAACGTGAGGACCAAAGTTTGCATGCTTTCATTAAATAGAGTAAGGTTATTAAATTAGCCAATTCTGACAGTGTGAGGTGGGAACTTTTTTCAGATTTGGCCTGTTGATTTTATGTAGTAGAAGACATACTTGCCAATTAAGGTCTGTGTCAGTGTATTCACATGTGCAGCCTTGGAAGCAGCTCTCAGATCAGTATTACAAGT